TATTTAATTTTTTTTTTTTTTGAAAAACAAGTGCCCCAAACAGATGTGAAAAAGAACCGAAAGCAAAATGTTTGGCGCTCAAAAAAAGAAAGGTAAGTTTTTATTAAAACTTCTGCAAAACTTCTTTTTTATCACCTTAAAATGAAACTTTATGTTCCTAAACAAAAGTCACCCCCTTCTGTTATTATAATACCATAATTGTTTAATTTTAAGTAAAGTATATGTATACATATAACATAATAATAAGAACTTGTTTTTTTAATAAAAATCTACAAGGATTTTAATGCGTTATTGCTGAAAGTCGCCCTTCTGTTTTACAATATGGACATGGCAATTAATAAGCTCGCAAAGCTCTAATGACAAAGGGTACATCAGTCTGTCGTGCTGTTTATGACATTTTTGAAATATCACCGGACAACAATTGATGGTCCCAACAAATCTAAAGTGAACAATTATCCTTTATAAAAGAACTAGCATTTTATTACTAACCTTTGCCCATGTATGTACAAACTATGTAGAATTACGAAAAGAATCCGCTATGTATTTTTTGTTTGATAAAAAAAAAACTACAAATCAAATGATGTGAAATTCGTTTTCGCAATTCTTTTTTGCATTGTAGGCAGGTGCCTATCTCAAAGTTTGGTCTCGTAAAGAAAATTGGTGGTTTAACTCGTAATTATCTTCCACGCCGTAAATTAAGTGGATAGAATTTTTAGGGCTACCTTAGGGCAGAATAAATTATCATACTTTATTTTGAGACCTGGTGACAGCGATTTTCTGTTCTCATTACATCACACTACATTAAACTAAACAATTTACTAATCCTGGGGTTGATAATAAATATAAACTGCGTTGCAGGACAGCGTTTGTTATTTTATTTATTTATTTATTTACCCAGGTGGTGTTCTTTACCCATCTTGTGACAAATGTACTTATAATGTAAATTTTATTCTCTTTCTAAAGCTCAGAATCTCAGTTTTGGATCTGTAGGTATATCAATTGCGCGGCTGCAATAAAATTTATGTGACTGGAGAAGCACAAGGGTTGTATACAATTACAGGTATTTGTGTACAAATTATTAGATATATTTCAACGTTTCTTTGTTTTATTATCAGCACCTGTTGCACTTTATGTCACCTAAATAACGGACATTCTAACGGCTAATAGTACAATTTATTATCCATTTCATTCTCTATTTGCATCCCAATTTTTATCGGTTTGATAATTATTATTATTACTGCATACGTATAAGTGGTTCAAATTAAAAATTGTATAGGAAAGTTGGCTGTTCTAATTTCATTGACAATGAGCCGAATAATTTGTGTTCTGGAATTGAAAGATAACAAAAAGTCGGATCTAAAAAAGTCATAAGGGTTGGCGTCACTAGCGAAATCTTTACTAAAGTTATCGATCTGTTTATGCGAACAAGCGAAAAAATGAATCCCACTGAAAATACGAAACTGGTGAAGATGCCTTTATGGGAAAAGCTGTCGCTCAAACCACGCAATCTTGCTTTTTGCCATCTAAAATGTATTAGCATTTGTTCTATATCTAGCAATCTACAGCAGATCGCACATGTGTCAAATGACAATATGAGGTAAAAAATTTAAAAGAAAAATGAACAGAATCTCGACATTCGTTTCATTCCACATTTTTACCAAGCACAAAACAAATTTAATACAAAATTCTTTTGCTATCCTGAATATTTATGTAAGTAAAATACTGTCAACGAATGCCAAACACATGAATCCCTATGTACGAAAACATCCAGTTAATTTTTAATGATATACTATAAAAGAATTCGCGTTTAATAATTTAAAACTGAAACAAATCCTAACTTTCCCTCATTAACTTGAGGTAGTTTGTAGTGGATGGAAAATTTAAAATTAATTTTCACATTAATAATTAAAAATGTAAAGTTGTAACTAATTTTATATACGTTCAAAAGATGGAATAGTTCGTAGAACAACTCTCAATATGGTTACTGTACTTTTAATGTGCTGCATAGTCTGCAGTACACAACGATTGACTCAGTTTACACATTACAATGAGGATTTTTCACGTACAATAGGGGAAAATATGTGTCCCACTAGCATCGTAATTTTTTGAATGGATTTATTTTACGTTAACGAATGTAGAGAACCCGTTGAAAGGTGAAATGCTAATTACAGTTAATGTTTTGGCTTTTCTTCGTAAACACAACAGATGTAATCGATTTACTGATTATGGCTCTCTGCAGGAAAGGGTGAAAGGTTTATTACATCGTATATTTCTTCATTAGAAATGAATAAGGCAACTGGATGACTGCAGAGCGTACCGAGAACCGACAATTTGTTAAGAGCTGACTTAAAATGTTACTGGTTTCTTTTTTCGAAAAAAAAAAAGAAAAAAAGAATGTTCACGTTTTATTTTTCTTACTTTTACTTCCTCTATTCAACCAACACACTAAAATATAATGTTTGGTTTGATAACTGCTGTTATCAAAAAATGGATTATATGCTGCCGAAAGAAAACTTTTAAAACTTTCCCTATCTTTTTTGCGATTCAATATTACATATGTATAAGCCGACAGACATTAAATTAGATTATGTAATATTGATTTAAAAGCGTTTCAGTTTTATTAAGAGATCACTACATAACAAAATTTGTCTGCACATGACATTTTTCTCTTTTCTTTTGTAAATTTATATTAAAATCCCTATTGCTCAAATTCGTTCATTACATTCGTATAATTGGAGATGTTTCTGTTCTGTACACCACTGACAGGTTATGGACGAAAACAAATAACTACGAGACATCTGCAGGATCAATTTGAAAAACAAAATTCGGATGCAAGTTTAAGGATTTGAAAATAAATACATAGGCACCCTTGTAAACACATAAATCAACTTATTTTTGTTTTATTTCTAATGGTCTACATATCCTCGAGGCACTGTTAAAATGAATGGAAAATAGCTGTTATTTTAAGGGATTGAAATTGATTTATTACATGACTAATTAATAATATACTACTGCTTCATGTCAAATGATTAATTGTCCAACTTCGTTAATGCTAGAGATGGAAAAGTGCTAATTGCATGAGAATAATCAAACACCACAATAAGCACAAGTGTCACATATCATAGTCATGACAACAACCATGAATTTCGTCGCCAATTCCGTCGTCTACAGTTTTTTAACTAATTTTTAATGAAACTGCAAACTGTGACTCTGCTATAGTAGATAATAGAAAACTAAAGTGTAATTTTATTTAAACATATGGTTCTTTTGCTATTTTTTTTATAAATTAAGGATTTGGATAGTTAAGAACATACCTCATGGTTGCTAGTAGTAGTGTAAAATGTTATATCGAAAAGGAAGTGCTTTTAAATAATTTTATTGGACAACTGATAATAGAAATCTAAAAGTGTTATTTTATTCAAACGTTTCGATTTTGATTTTTCATTTTTTATCAATTAATTTATTCAAAAAGAGCTGTAAATTGAGAATTTATCAGTTCCATATTTGCGTTTGCATATTTATTGCATTTTTAATTAGAATTTATGGCCAAACGAACGGCTGTGTAGATTGCGAATTCTATTATTGTACGGTCATTATTAAAATCGTAAAAGGCCAGTTCTTTAACCGATAAAAATATATACACTTTTCGTTTTCGACACATGTGAAAAGGATGTAAAGCATAGGTCGTTTTGGTTTGAATAGCCACTCGTTTTAATATGAAAAATATCCAAAATATGAAATATGATCATGCGATATTCAAGCTGTGAATTTTACCTCTGTAAATCTGTCAAAGTTCATTCAAAAAGGAGCTGTCTGATACATCAACCCACTCCAGTCGTCTATTTTATCTTTTCCATGTCACCGCTTCATGTTATGTTCCAAATTATTCACAATTACTCTACACTAGAATAAATCGTAACTAGATGAGATAAATAACAAGAAAATCTAAACTGGTCTCAGGTGATAATAACAACCTTTATTAAACATAGCCAAACGTTTCTTCCAAATTTTTGTGAGCTTTTTCGAAGAAATTCTGTATAATGCATCGAAATGGCGACCACAATTTTAGGCATTTTAGTTGCTTTATTTTCTTTTGTGTAAGCAGATTATTAAATTATAGAACAAACAGAATAGCTCAAAACCCCAACGCCAAAACACGACACTGTAGTTGTCCGAAGCACTTTTCGGTAACAAATTTACCTTCTTCAGGGACTGAAGTAAACTAAACCTAAATGAGAACTAATCCTAATTTATACTGATAGTTGTTAAGGTTNCTTTATATTCGCTCTTTCCCTACTTTTTCTTCCCTTGCATATCAGTATTTTAGTTTTACTTTTATTTATTTTCATACAGTAGTGATCTGTCAGTACCGCTTCCATTTTATTTAAATCTATCTCTAGGTAGGTAGTAATAATAATATGTTGATAGAAATTTTTAGTATGAACTTCCACACTTTTTAATGGCTTACTTGTTTGCTTTCTAAATCTAATATTTTTTAATCCATCCGAAACTAGAACTTAGAAGCAAAAGTATTAAGTGGTTTCGCGTGAACTACTATGTCCTCATAGACTAATTCTGATGAATATTCAGATGTAGCTGCTGGCACTAAATATGCCTTAATGGTCTTTATCGTTAGTAACCATCTTGTGTTTTATGAAGTAAACTGAAAAAGTCACAATGCTTACCTTACAATCACGTATTCACCATAACTAATAACCCACCATTTCTTGATAACATTTATATTTCCTACTACCTTTCCCGCATAAAAATAACATACAATTGTCAATATTAATTAATTTCCGGGTACAGAGGGAAGTTATTGTAATGGATCCGATCATAAAAATAGCGGTTTTTGTTGAGGTGCCGATCGAAACGTCTTAACGTCAATATGATCCTAAAGAAATTACTATTATATCCTGAGCTAATCTTCGCATTTCTCTAAAACTAGCACACATCCTTAACTATTTGCGAACAGTAGTCTAATCTAGATCTACCTCTACTCCTCTTAACTCCTATTCTTGCTTCTAATATGTCTCTGACTAGACCTTCGTGTCTGAGAAGGTGTCCTACCAACCTATCTCGCCTATTTTTT